TTTATTTATTTTTCTTCGTTCTCAGATAGATTTCAAAGTTCGAGAGGCGCTCTCTATGATTGTAAACCGATTTTTTATGACAGCACATGAAGATATCTACTGCGTCAAGTCAACAGAAAGTTAACTAAATATTTGAACAGTTTTTTGCATGGTATATGTATATACATTTATTTTTTTCTGTACATTCTTATTGTACATTTGGCGAAGAACAAGAATTGACTGTTATTAGGCTGAAGAAATTTGCCCCCTAAAAATATCTGAAACTTATTTGCCCAAGGCTGGCTATGTGCTTATCCAGAAAAGAGTTTCAGACTTTGGAAATGACCTCACTTGTGGTGTAGTTGCTTATACGGATATCACTTCTTGTTAGAGAATAGTTCCTTGGCACCCTGTATGGTCTTAGGCAAAAAAAACTGCACTTAGAGGAAAGGGTAAGGAAGACCTTGTATTGCTAAAGAGTGGCTTTGCGCCAGATTACTTTTGTTGATATCGCATAAAAAGCTTTCACAGCCCACGCCCCGCCTTGACCATGAGGCGCTGGCTATAAGCTTTTTTCCAACTACGGACATTACAGAATTTTAAAAAGCTTTAAGTTCATCGGGCCCTTAACCGACCATTGCATACAGATAGCGGGTCCAACTGGATGCTTCACTATTTTCGAAGTGCAATCTTTGGCACCAGCGTCCAGTGAATTTATTCGCGAATGGATCAAAATTGGATGGAAGGGAAGGGTAAGATGTATTTTGCCAACGATTCTCTATCAAATTCAAATCACTGTTAATAACTCAGTGAGTGGAAAGACCAGCATGTTTGCATGTATAAAAAAAAAATATTTATTGCACCAAAAAGTAGTGTGTGGGCAATATGTTAGGTGGTTGTAAGTCAGGCAGAGTCAACTAAAAACTCCGGATGAGCCATCAAATTATAACTTAAGATAGTTTTGTTATATGGCATTTGAGAAGTGCATGCTCAAAAATTCCCTAAATTTCATAAAGGAAACTTTTGCACATGCCGCAGTCTACAGCATACATTTACCGCTCTATTCACACAACACTGACAAAATTCATCATATGACTATTGTCACAATTACTGCGCCTAAAACACAATATAAACATTGTTTCGCCGTTGTCACTTACTCAGTAGGTCATAACAATAAAACTGACAATTGTCATACGACAGCTTAAAATAAATTTGCGGCATAGTATTAGGCGCAGTAGTAAAAGCAATAGTCAGCCGCTGAGTTTTGTCAGTGGTGTGGGAATAGGGCGGTTAGACGCTTGGTATTAGTAGTCGCGCCTAATCACACTGCAGTGTTCCCAAGAGGAGGTAGGTGCCATGAAGCAGCGGCTTATATATTTACGAATGCAATACCAGTTAAGGTGTGGACATATATCCTTGGAAATTGCCGACCAGTGCCTGGCATCCCTCACCGCCGCATCAGGATACTTCGGTGTCAAGCTCATATGGGTGCCAAGCTATTGCTAGTATATTAAAGAAAACTAGTGGACCGATAAACAGGAAAGAGGGAGCAATCTTGAGGAGTTGTCACCTGTCTCCATTGGTCACTTGTGGCCTGCTGTGAGAAAAATTAGCTTCTAGTAAGCTCAAAAGGTGCTGGGCGAAACCCTTGGGAGGTTGTGGTAAACAAAAATTAAACGCTAAAATATTTCTTTCACGACTTGAAAACTTCACTCGCCTCTGCTTTCACGGCGTATGAGCAGTAACCTTGATTTTTTCATCCTAGCACTTTTACTACCCGTCTTCACCATTTTTCGTAACAAACTTATAATATTAAATTGAAACAAAGTGCACTTAACATCCGCACTATATTCTCCATAAAAAACTGTTGCTTAAATATATCAACGTTCAACAGTCGACACTTGCAACATTTCACAAAATTTGTTGACTTTATTTAAGCAGTGCAAGAATTGCTCATTGACAACAAAAACAAGTAGTTTACACCTGCTTGAAATTGCAAAGGTGACAATGGCCGCCACAAGGTGAGACAACGTGCAACAGCGCAATGGCAAGGACACTGGCACACACAGACGAGCAGGCAGTGAAATGCCGAAACAAACAAAACAAATTGGAGGTGAGTGAAAAGTAAGAAAAAAGAGGATGCAAAAAAAAAAAACAAATTGCAAGAATTGAATGGCTGCAAGTGGAAAAACACCTTGAAAACTGTGTGAGGTAAGGCAGAAAGCTAGCGATTGTTAGCGTGGCTAAAGAAGAAGAAGCCGCCAAGGCAGCGGGAACAGGACATACGGAAAATGCATTAATCTATTGCAGCTCATAAATTTTAAAGTGTGAACTTCCGCGCGAATGTAGCGGGTTTTACACGCAAGAGGAAGAAAAAAGAAAAAAATGTTTGACGTAAAGTTTGTGGGAAGCAGCGTCGCTTTTACTCTCGAACGGAAGGCCAGCGAAAGAGCGTAACGCTGACTTCTAACGACAGAATGAAAAAGCAGAATGATTTAATTCACTGCCTTAAGTTTTGCATTTTTCGCAGAGTTTCTTTGGAGCGAAATTTTGTTTTCTTTGAATATTCACTACCAGAATGAATGAGTTCCGCCTTTTCATAGGGGAAGTGAAGCCTGGATGTTAAAGAGATGTAAAAAATACACGAAAATATATAAAAGAAAACCTGCTAATCCATAACGAAGCAAATTTTTATAGGATTGCCAACTGTTTACAGCTAAATAAAGGAAATGCTTGAAATAAATACGTGCAATAATTTTATTTTAAGATAATTTTAGCAGCTGTAAGAAAGTTCTTTTTTTATGTAGTGGCCAACTGTATTATTTGAAATTTTATCGCATGGGCAGGGTTGTCATGTCTCTTAATATTAAAAAAAACTAGGGTGTAGAAATTAATTAAAATATTTAAATATGGATATCGATTTAATGCAGCAAATTTAAAATAAAAGGTTGCCAACTCTCGGAAATTTCAAATGAATAATTTGCGCACGCTAAATAAAATATCTAGGTATGAGTACTAAGGTATTTCAATTGCTTTAGTACAGTTTTTCCGTAAAATTTATGGTTTGGGAATTAATTAAATACAGAAGGCTTTAAGTAGCTTGAATATAACCATTTTTATAAAAAAAAGGTCGTCAACTGTCGAAAATTGAAAATAAATAATAGCTTAAATATTGCGTTTTTAAAACAGGGTTACCACTTTTCTAAAACTTTAAATTAACAAGAGTGCCACTTAAATAAAACATTGATGTATGGGTATTAATTTAATCCAGGAACACTTTTAGCAGCTTTAGTGCAGTTCGTTTTTAAAATAAGGGTTGCCAAACTTTCAATATTTAAAATAATTAAGATTTAGTGAAATATTTTTTAATACAATAGCGTTGCTACTTACTAAAAAAAAAAGTAAATAGTTTATAAATTGCTTTGCCACCTACATGCATATGTATCTCTACTGTTAAAATGATGGAAATTTACCGAGTATAAAAATATTCGAATCTGTATATTAGTACGTTCGATTATTCGATTTTTTGAAAAAAACGACTCATAGTTTTTAAATTCCAAGAAAAACCGTTTAGACCGGTTATTTGCTTTTAATTTGTTGCGTGTGGATAACGTTCAAAATTAATCAGAAATTAATGCCACAAATGGAATAAAACTATTAGACTAAGGTACAGCCTATGTTTATAAGAAAATCAAACGAATAAGTTCAAAGTAATAGTAAAGCAGACATTAGATCTAATAAAAGTTTTGCGATCAGCTGTTCTCTCTGTTAAGGAGTGTTGCCACCTGACAAAAAACATATTTTTAATTTTAATCACGCACTTAGTTAAAAAATACAGTCTAAGCACTGAGCTGTAGGTATTTAAGGAACATTTTTTAGCCGGAAATATTTTAGAAGAGTTGCCACCCGAAAATAACTAATCCAGTGGATTTTCTCTCCGATGTGTACCAAAGCGAGGTACCTTTTAACATGCATACATACATACGGACGCGGTCAACTAAGATGCAACGAAATTCAAAATTATATTGTTTGCAAATTATGTTTATTTATGAATTTAATAATTTTAATTTAAAATATAATTCAATCTATTACAAAAACCACAATAATAAAAGTTTAAAAACTTGCACAAATTGAAAAAAAAAATAAACAAAATGATCAAACTTCAAAAAATTGTCATTAAAATTTCAAAATTTTTAATTATAATATTAGAAGACAAAAAAAATTCTAAACAATCAACGGTATTTTTTTACGACTAGAAACTTGCACTTTCTTATACTACAATTAAATGGGCTACACAACTGCATACCCGAAAATATTCTAAATATTCTAATTAAAAGTTTTGCAATTTTGATGTAAAGTTTTTGAAGTTTGATTAATTTTTTTGCAATTTGTACAAACTTTTAAACTTTTGTTATTGTGGTTTCTGTTACCGATTGAATTATATTTTAAATGAAATATATTAAAAATACAGAAATAAACATAATTTGCAAACAATATCATTTCAAATTTCGTTGCTAACCAGTTGAACGCATCTGTATATTTGTATGTATATGAACTATACTTCACAGTTTATTTTCCTTTATCTTCTTTGCTTTATGTATATTCTATTATCCTCTTTACTTTTTGCTCACCTCTTATTAATTAAAAGAAAGCGTATTTACTTATGCCAACTTTACTCGCTTTCGCAGGCGAACAAAGAAGAATAACAAACGCAAGTTAAATAAATTTTAACAGCTCAAGTAACAAATTTGTTAAAGAGAACTAATTAAAATTTGCATTTTACAAGCATTGAATTATTATTTAACGCGCTTTTAATGCTCTGGCTCTTGCATGGCTCATAAAGTAAGCGCACTGCCAGAAAAAGAGAGCGAAGGAAAGGAGGAAGCAGAAAGATGATTTCCTTTCCGTTCGTGAGTATGAAAATATTTGGAAATTTCTACCCGTAATTAAATGCGCGTGACCGGCGTTCAACACTAAAAATGCTACTTAAATTTACATTTCTCCGAAAAGAGTTAACATACCGCGTAAGCGCAGCTAGACTGCGCCATTTTCCCATATGCCATTTTCACATCTTCTCGCGCGCTCTTGGTGTCCTATTTACCAGTAGCGTAGATTCGACTTAATTACCTCTTAAAAAATTTGATGTCACTCATACGACATGTCACACCATTTGAGTGTCGTTATTAGAGAGATGCAAATTGTGGAAATGTGCACAAAAAATAAGTGATTAGTGGAAATATGAGCAGCTAAGTGCACTTAGCCAATGGATTGTAAATGCAAATTTTATGTGAGACATGTTTTCGAAAAATGTTGATGAATGAGTATACTGATTACAGTGTGGACGATACCGGTAATTGAATTTCTGCGAAAAAGCTTTGAAGGGTGTCAGCAAAGAAAAAAATGAAAAAGCACGAAAGTTAGCGTCGGAGGTTAGCATCTAGCTACGGATGGCTAAATATACCTATTGTATGACTATCGCTTTGATTTTCTTGGACGGGTTGCCATTTACCTACCGAATAACAAAAAATAAACGAATATCTTAAGCCCTAACAATTGCTGCATACATTTATGTAAAAAAGGTATTCCGAAGAAATTAAAACAAAATCTATTTAAAGGATTGCCACATACGAAGAAGCAAAAAAAATGAAAAAAATTATCAATTAATCTTAAAAAGTTTTGTTGCTAAACGAAAAAACATCGAGAGAGCTTTTATAGAAAAAAATGGTAGAGTTGCCGATTTCGAAAAAGGTCAAGTAAACAGCTGAAATTGAGAAAGCTTAATAAACTATTGCTGAAAAGAGTTGCCAACCTCTTTAGCATGTATGCATAGAAAATATAAATGATTTTAATATAGATATGTATCAATTAACTGAATTACGACAACATGAATAACACAAAAAAGTGACTATTATATTTTCTAAATAGGGTTGCCGGCTTGCGATATAAAATTTTGAAATTATTAAAACTGAATATTAGATTAAAAATTATGAAATATATATATTATATATATTAAGGAAATGGAATGTGGTTGAAAAAGCTTTATAAGAGACATGTTTTTGAATAGGGTTGCCAACCATTACAAAAGGAAGTAAATTTTTACATGAATTAAATAAGGAACTATAAAATAAAAAAAAAAAAATAAATAAACTTAGCTAAACTCTATTTCAGAAATATTTAAAAATGGGGTTGCCACATGTATAAAAATTTAAATGTAACAATTAAATACATATGTGCATTACCTAAATTAAACTTAAGGACTTGCTGTCAAGTGAATAGTATTTCAGAAATCTTAGTTATGGCAAAATCTTAAGCAGTGTTGCCAGCGCAATTTTACTAAAAAAATGTTTTTATAGAATAGAGTATCCAACTTAATCAAAATAATATGGCGAAAAAATTCATTACAAGCAAAAAATAATTAACCTACATATCAACGCTTAAATTAAAATTAAAAAGAAAAAAAAGAAAATCTAATATTTATTATATAGTTGCCATCTACCTAAAACTTTTTTTTTATTAAAAAGGGCTATAAATCGTAATGTGAGAAAAAAACAAGCGAAAACTAAAATATTTATTAAATTAATATATTAAAGTAGAGTTGCCTACTATCTGAAAGTTTGAAATTGAAACCAAAAGCTGAATAAAAATTATAATTTAAAATTTTGCGAAAATTTTGTTAAATTTTTTTTCCCAACTTGAAAAAGTTAGTTAAGACAGTGACGAGCAAAAAATGTTTAATCACTAACTCCGAAATCGAAATTCGACATTAAAAAGTTTTTAAATATTAAATACAGTTGTCACCTATCAAAAAAATTTAACGATTTAAACACGGATATCAACCGATTTTGTTTGTAAACAATTTTGGTATGAACATTTTGATTGGGTTACCAAGTTAAAAAAATATTTCACACAAATAAACTGATTACAGGAAGAAAATTTTTAACGCATTAACGCCTAAATTGAAACTAAAAGTTAAAATAAATTATTTTGCGGAGAGTTGCCTACTGAGATGTAAATTAAAACTTAAAGTTTAAATAAATACATACATGCAAATATTTTAGTAGAGTTTGCTGCCACCAACTAATTTCAGCGATTTTCATAAATTTTAATTTTTTGGAAAATTGAAATAAATCAATTGGTAGCTAGAAAAAAATATTTTATTCCATAGATGCCTAAACCGAGACTACAAGTATTAAAAAAATCTTAAAAGCGGAGTTGCCACGTATCTTAAAATTACCGTGCTTTTAACGAAATGTAATTAGGCGTTCACCATGGCCGAGTGGTTGGAATAGCTCGGCTATACCTGTAAAAATATAAGGCAGAAATTCCATTTTTTTAATTTTAATTTTGAAAATTGTGGGTCACAAAAAAATTTTAACAAAGTTTCCAACTTAAAAATAAAAAAGAACTGAAACGAGAAATATTTTTTGTGATGTTTGAGAAAATACTTAATAAAAATTTTTTAGCAGCTTTGTCAACTAAAATATAGTTTTTTTTTAATATTTGTTGATCATGTGTAGACGTGAATGCCGTATGCTGGCTCATTTTACATACATACATAGTCATACAAGGGCCTCAGAAGAAAATGTAACCTGGAAAATCTTGCTTAATAAAGTTTTAGAAGCTGGCAACCCTGTTTGACAAAAATTAGGCGCGTAACAGTATTAACGTCAATTAGCGATTATTTTAAAACAATTTTGTCTTAAAAAAAAATGTGGTATGCAAAATCGCACTTTTTTTTTTCAATTATAAAGTTTAAGCCACTCAAATTTTTGCGGAGATGTTGAAGTAGTAGCCATATTATCAGCAAAACAAAAAAAATTTAATTAATAAATGGAAGCATCTACTGATTATTTTTCCACATCGCTTGCGATTAAATTTTTCATTCATACAAAAATGCTGAGATGATTTCCGCGAATGAATATTTTTTGTTTTTACGCAAACAAAAGTTTTCAATCTAGATTTCTACGATTTTCCCGACTTTAGTTGTTCATTACTTTTTACTTAATTTTTCCTGTTCTTTTTTATTGAATTTTCGCCCTCCGTTTTTAATAAATTTTTTCAATCTTCTTAATATTCTCCACGCTCACGCCATATACATCCGTACTTATTTGCCATTGTCTGCTCCGAAAAGTATGCTACATGCCATAACAAGCAAACTTTTTTTTACAAGTAAAAGTACTTGTCGTGGTTGAAGTTGTTGGTGTTTTGTTGCTGCTGATGTATTTTGCATTACTCCCTAGCTGCCACTCATCAATCAAAAATATCGCAATTCAAGCGCGAAAGCAGCAACGCTGCGCTAGCCACCAAACCAAATGTGGCGCGTATAAGCTGAGATGAGCATAAAATAAATAACAGCAACAACAATAGCAGCTAAAAGTTAGTAAGTAAGTTTTTCGAAGTACATACACAACAAAGCGCAACACGCAAACAATATGCTGCCACAATAACTCGATGCGATCCGCGGCCCAATACGGCTCCCCCTACTCCACCTGGCTCTTTTCGGTTTCAACCAGAAACAGCAGCATATTTCCATGAAAATTCGATGCGATTTCATAAATTCAGCCACACAACTCCACGCTGCCATTGAGCTGAATTGTTGGCATGTAGCGGAGATGAAAAACGGCAGCATGTTTCATGCCACACAATGCCGCCGCCACCAACTACCGTCAATGCGGTGCGAAATGCAATATTGCAGTTCAAAGTGCCGCAGCGTTCGACACACACACACGCACACATCCTGAGTAGGGCAGCTAAGCACACCGATGCATTTGCTGCGTATTTGTATTTACGCTCGCTGCTGCTGTTGCAACGCTTTGGTGTCACTTACAGCGGCGGTTGGTTGAAGCTTTGACAAGCGCGTTGCCACGCGACGCCACGCCATACTGTCAGCATATCAATAGCAACAATGCATGTTGCTTATGCGCTTTGAATGGCACTAAATGTGTGTGCGTGTGTGTGTGTGTGCCTGCGGATGAATATTTGCTTGCTGTTCTGTATGTTGCCCCTTGCACGCGGGCGTGTTGGAATTTAAATATGACTAGATCTA